CTTTTGTAGGTATTCCAATCTCGCTATAAAATGCAAATGCGCCCTTCCCCTTTTCTACCTCTTTGCAACTCCAATCCGTACACTCACACCCCGCAGCCAAAAAAAAGTCTATGAAGAGCCGCCCGTAACCTTGACACTACCATCCTCCATACCAAAGTACGCAGCCACGGGCTTCTGCGCCAACCCGACCTTGCCGGCCGCAGCGGCCTCGACGCCGTTGAGGCCGTGGAAGATGCCAATCTCGACGATGCCGGGGATCATGAGCAGCTCCTTGGCCAGCGCGGAAACCTCCCACGCGCCGCTGGCGTTCCGGGCACTGCCGTCGGAGACGTCTGAAGAGAGGAGAAGCTGCGGGAAGGGCGCGTCGATGAGCCACATGCCGTTGTCGGTGACGACCTCGCCGGCTTTGCCGGGGGCGCCGGGCCGCACGGCGGGCTTGACGGCGCCGAGGGCCGTGAGCCTGTCCAGCACGTCGGGGGCGGACATGGGGAGGACTTCGATGGGGATTGCCTTCCAGTTTGTGAGCAGTCTCGCGGAGAGCTTGCGGTAATCTGGGATATTTAATCAGCTCAATTCTCAGGCCTTCCTGCCGGGGGGGGGAAACTCACCAGCGACAACGACAAACTTCTTCGCAGCTATAGCAACAAGCTTCTCCTGGAACAGACACGCGCCGCCGCCCTTGATGCAGTTGAGCTCGGCGTCCACCTCGTCGGCGCCGTCAAACGCGACGTCGATGGCGACGAGCTTGCCGTCCGGGCCGAGGGGCCTGTCGTCGAGGTTGCACAGGCGCAACCCGGCGGCGCGGATGAGGCCCTTTGACTGGCTGCCCGTCGGGAAGAAGGTCATGTCGCCGTAGAACGCGGGACCCTTGGCGGCGATGACGTCGACGACGTAGACGACTGTGCTGCCGGAGCCGATGCCGACGTAGCGGGCGCCCGGGGCGAGATGTTCGTCTACGGCGCGGTAGGCGGCTGCCTTTTTGGCTTGTTCGACGAGGGACATTTTGGTGCTGGTTGTGAGGGTGCGGCGGGGGAGGTGAAGGGAGGTTGATGGTAGGGTGGTTTTGGCTGCGCGGGATGGCGTGAGGGTGTGGAAAAGATGAGTTTTGGTGGTGAGGTGTGAGAAGGGGCGTGAGGTGGTAGATGAGGACGAGAGGAAGTGGAGTGACGAGACTTTTGATCTTATAAGTCTTCTACTTGTGCTGATGCTAGTCAGGGACATGGAAGGCGAGGGCGAGGCGGGAGTCGGGATGAGGTGGTGGTGTTATAGTGGGATGAGCCATAAAGTTGCGTCTCTTGCGGCTGTCCGGGCTTACTCAGGAACCTGAATCGTGACGCGGGACGGGGAGAGTGGGTTCGGATTTCCGGCTGGCGACGGCTGGTTCCAGATGGAGGGTGTCGTGGATTCATCCCAGAGATGGACTTGGACAAAGAGGTATTTGCGGCTGGCATAGGAATATTGTGTTCGGTCAATTTTAATCCGAACCATTAGAAGGCATTGAATTCTCTGGTATCTGATTGATGTCTTTTGCGGTCACCAAGGCGAGTGCCGCAAAATCAGAGGGCTGATCCCGCGGTGAGCCTCGGTGAGAACCCCTCCTTCACCGAGCGCGGGGCACACCACCCATCGTATGTCAATGCACCTCAAGAACTCAGGAACCACTTCTTTTTTTCACCATCTCCACATAATGACGTACCCAACGGTGATTTCCAGGGACGTCTGTTCTTCTCCACCACGCAGCACCGACTCAACGCCCGCCGTTTATCGTCTCAGAAGTCAGAAACCGGATCCGCCGAATCAGACCGGGACGGCAAGACCTCGGAGGGGAAACCGGGAGTCCCACCGGTGTGCGTCCCGGTGGAGAATTGCCGGTGGAGAAGGAGGGAAAAGTCTGTACCTTTCATAGGAGATTAGGAAGATCCTTTTCAAGGAACTACCCTCGCGGTCTTCGCGGGTAGTAAAAGGGTTTTATGCTTGACGACGTCATTTTGCTTAAGTATGGAGACTGGTAGATGTTCTGAGGGAATATGGATGGGTCCAACAAAGGCTTCTGCTGCTTTAGAAGACGAATTTAAGGAACCGGGCGCGATGAATTAGCAAGCTCGTATTCGGTCGAGCAAGTTGGTGTCGATAAGATACAACTCAACGATACTAAACCAGGTCAGATTGCGTCGTGGAGTCTCTTGAGTATGATGTGGCCATCTCTCTGATAGGCTCTGCTGGATCCTCTGCTAGCGTCTCGCCTGTAAGATGTCAATATGCAAATCTTCTGGGGAAACATCTCAGTTCTGGCAAAGTCTTCGACTACGATCGTCGCACAGCGAGCAACGTCAACATGGATGGAGAGGATGCGAAGAACAACCATCATTATTTCGCTTCTCATTGATTTGCGATTGAACAAGTGCTGACAGTGTTGACGATGCTTTACTGATAAGGATCAATAACCCATCCCGCTTTAGCTTCTTGTGCGATGTTGCACAGATGACAGGATCAAAGGCAAGTGACGGACTGAGGGAGAGTCTCCACGTTGCTAATATAAACGCAGTGATTCGCGATCCAAAGTCTAGTGAGATCCTTAGGCATTGAACTCATTGTCTTCTTCGCGCTTCCGATAGTCATCAACCGAAGTTCCCGCATCAAAGTGAAGAGGATAATACTCATCCACAACCTCGATAAGCCCGTCATCTTCGTTTATAGTCAGGTCCAATCTTCCTCGATAGCGGAACGTCTTTCCGCTGGCCTTATACTGGCTCGTCAGGTCGTTCGTATACGTTCCGGTTCCGACAAAGGCGAAAGTCACATAAACCTTCCCACCTTTCTTCAACTCCGGCCAGACAAGCTCAACGTGCATTTCGAAGTCGGGGTTCGCATGTTTCCACATCCCGACATGATCTGCTATGCCGGCGTGCCCTTTGCGCTGAACCCGGAAGGCGTGATCGTTGTAGATTATCGATTTCGAGTGGAGGTCAATCCACTGCTGAGGAGGTCCGTGGGCATTGGATAGTGGGAAGACGCCGGCCCAGATGGCGGCTAGGTCTTTGGGAGTTGGGAGGTTTCCTGGTGATCAATTCTCGTCAGCGTCTTAAGAGGTGACAAGATGAACCGGGAGAACATCATGGGGGAGAGGGCCGGGGGGGGGGGGGGGGGGGGGGGGGCGGGTGGGGGGGGGGGGGGGGTGGGGCGGGGGGGGGAGGGGGGGGGGGGGGGGGGGGGGGGGGGGGGGGGGGGGGGGGGGGGGGGGGGGGGGGGGGGGGGGGGGGGGGGGGGGGAGAAGGCGACTCGCTCTAGACTGAAGCCGACTTACTCATCACGGCCGGGAGTTTCTGGACAGGAGTTTCCAGAGGGACGTTGCTTGGATAAGGCCACTGAGAGGGAGACAACAAGAATCGAGGCGGGCGATGTAGCTATTTAATCTTGAATACCGATCCTCTAGCGAGCTGTGAGACAAATATAACAGTCGAAAGCAAGCACTGTACTGGTGACGCCCAGAGTTCTTGCCGTTGGAAGTTGCCGGTCATCAAAGCTGGTCTTGGCACTATCAAGAACTGTGAAGTCTAGGTATACCTCGGCGACCAACCTGTAGTACAGGATCTTCCAAGGAAGGAATATACAATGCCCGCCATTCCGCGACAAGCCGATGTGCCTCGGCTGGTTCCTACAGCGGATGTATCGCGCTTCACGGCCCCCGGCTTACCATGGATCGAGGCCGCTCCGGTGAGCTGGTGAACAAGCATAGCTCTGGCCTGCAGGACATAAGTGACCAAATTCGGATGATTTGTCTTCGACATAGGTACTAGCAACAACTTTGGGTGTGACGGTGACCCAATTAATCTAGACCGGGCAGTCAAGATACCAAACCTTATTCTGATCATAAAAGCACAGTGTAACCACTTGCGGTAACACAGTCTTACTTCACTCAGGACAATTGAAATGGCCTGTACCAATTCCTAGCACGTTTGAGTACATTTGACGCTAGTGAGGAGTCTGAAATTGCACAGGATGAGTCGAGCTTTTGGTCAACGACAGCTCCAGCGGCCGGGCGGCCGAGAAGACTTCTCTACATAGGCTGGAAACAGCCTGAACAACAAAGTGCATTTGTAATGCTAAGGTTCAATTCGATGAGATCAAAGGGTTATGTGCGCCATTGTGGGATATGGCATTAAGAGGGCGCTCATATCAGTAGACTTGTCATCTAATGTGTTCAAAATGATAAGCATAGATGAGCGATACACTAAGTAGTGAAAGAGCATTGAGACAAGTTGAATTTCTAAGTGATTGTACTAACACTGAATGAAGGTAGGCGAGTTGATCGATGGTTTAACGACACCACGTGGTTTACGTGCGGCCGAACCACCCGCCTCCCTCATCCCGCTCAATGTAGGTGTGGAGGATGAACTCAGTACCTGTGTAGGTAATAGTAAACACGGAATTTTGTCTTCAAGAGCCATGAAGTTCCGAGTTAGCGCATTTAGGAGACGCATTCTGGCGTCGCCTAATATAGAGCATCTACTGGACTTGTTGCCTGATCTGACGATCTCCTTGGATGGCACAAATACGTACTTGGCATTGCTTGATTGGAACAGACTTTGTGTTCGGCGTTGTTAACTCGTGTTCAACTGCCCGATAGATAGCATGAGTTTACGTCTCGAAGAACAACGACTGCATGGCCAAAAGCCATGAGCAGCCATGGCAAAGGGTCCAGTCAAACCGGATCAAAATTTCCTCATCCAATCACTGTGGAATGTTGTCATCGAATCAAAAATCTACTGAACTGTCACATGGCAGATGTCGACGAATTGGGCATGTCAGTCAGAGAGGGGTATTTGGCTATCTATCATACGAATCAGAAGGCTCTGCTCCGTCCCGTTCTTCACACGATCACTTCCTCTTGTTATCATCCCCGTCGTCGCAGCTTTGTCAAGCAAACCGACTCCTTCACTTTGGAGGCACATTTTATAAGTCCACGTGCAGTGGCGAGATAACAAAACTCTCTCATTGCGATGGCAGCATTACCGCTTCTCTCCACCTCAGCAGAGGCCCTAGTCATGGCACTCGCAGAGGTAGGGGTCGCTACAGCTGCAGTCGCCCCTGTTGCGCCCGTTGCAGCTGCAATCACATTCCCCGTTGCGGCTTTGGCCGTAGGTGCTGGCGCCGTGGCGGTCCGAATGGGACTGGTAGGTATATGTAGGGCTACTTGTATCCTTGATCTCCATAGCTGATGTTTGTCCTTGAATGCACCAGTTCAATACCTCAGACACCCCTCCGAGAATGCCCAAGATTCCCAAGAAGATGCTGAAAAGACTGCTCAAAGTCTATGGCAAGAAGATTCACAAGAAGCTGAAGAAAAGAACGCGTTACGATACGAACAATAGAATTGTGTGGAATAATACAGACTTTCGAATCGATTTGAGGCGGTCTAATAAGGTTCATGTCCATATCAAGACTTGGCACTTGCATTTCAACAAGACAGCAAGTAAGGACATCAGGGATATGTTTGAATTCCAGGGCTGCACAACGCATACAAAACTGCTTCGGGATGTGTTTGATATTGAGAATCCACCGGATTACGAAGCCTGGGTAGAGACAATTTTAGAGTTATATCATGAGTGACGCATCGGGGTCTCTGAAGACAAGGTTACTTCAGATATCTTGAATTACAAGATGCTTGGGCTTGTTTCCTTGCGAAAACGGCTTGTAGTACAGTTGAAGGATGGATTTCGCCTCAATTCTTTCAGTCTGCTACAACGAAAGACTGATTTCTTCGAAGGGTATCACTTGTAGCGGGCTTAGAGATTGAGGACCAGCGAGTGTTCTATTTGGAGAAATATAGTAATTATGTTGAAAGGAGTTGGGCTTGATGTTATACAATGAGTTCAGTTAGATCACATCACGGACTGTCGCATACAATATTATGACTAAGTACCGTCCAGATGATATCGCTCAAGGTCGGGAAAATATTAGCATAGAAATATTGAGGCTTCCTTTTACTTATTATTTCCACATTCAGCCTTTGAGGCTGGGGCTTATTCTTTTCGATCGACTTACGGAGCCTTATTATAATCAAGAAATCTTGTCGACTAATCAAGTCACCAGAAGAAATGTGATATCCTGTTCAGGCGCCCACTAATTATGCCGTTCCTGTCAACAGCACAGGAAGCGCCCGTCTCGACTCTCGGTTGACGAGTCAGATCAATTTCTGTGCGAGGCAGTCGAGTGAATCAAAAAATACATTCTTCAACGAAGTTGGAGTCTAAGTTAACTGAGAGTTGCGCTGTTCGTTTCCGAAGACGAGCGTGAATTATAGGGCCAGTGCCCCTCTCCTTCAGTTCCATTCAGCCATTATTTGTTTGTATACATGTTATCCTCTTACTCAAGCGTTTAGCCAGTCAGCCAACAGTTTCACTGCCAGTTCTTGAAATACATACACGCTCAATCGTACAAAGGATTTCCAGCGCGTGACTAGCCCTCTTGTGGGATCAGCATGACTATCACTAGCTAAGGTCAGGTAGATAGGACTACGTAATCATATCCGGGGCTGAATCAATACCCAATCACTGTCCTTTTCAAATGAAAGACAGCGAGAAGTTGTGCCTGTATCAAGTTATGACTTCCAACTGCCTCTACACGGCCCATTCTTTTCACAAAGCCCAAATGGAGTATATTTTTTCGGTGGACAGACGGTCTTCCTCAGGTTCACGGTTCTTGCGGATCTTATTCAGCGATGACATTTCAGTGAAGTAAAATTGAAAAGGGACTAGTGAAGGCCGCAGAACTCCATGAGGCAGTGCTTGTGTAACGCCTCCGTTTCAAATGTTGCGGGTTCCTAATCTGCGGGAGCGTGAACCACAGATCGAACTGATATACACAGCCGCATTGCTGACATAAACCTCAAGGCAGAGGCATCATAAGGTACTCTTCCTGAGAATGATTGGCCCGGATCTCGTACGGCCGAGTCGGTTCCTTCACTGAGCCTTTGGCTAGCCCAAGAATGATGGCCATTGGCTACGAGCTTGCTAGGGTGGGAGCCGGCATATGAAGTCTGCCTGGAACCTGGTTGGCGTTCGTTTGGCAAGTTAAACATTGGTATCATCCTTGACGGGGATCTACATGCTTGTCGCTATCAAACAACTTTGACTTCGACCTAGGGATTATTAATCTTACCTATTGGAAACACGAGGCCAATGGAGTCCCGCAGCTACAAGATCAACACGTTCAAGTACTACTAATAGAATAAGGGGCAAGTTTGACCATCTATTAGGCTACCAGAGTCCAGTTGAGAAGAAAGACATACCAAAGGGCATATTGCTCTAGCCCAAGCTCTGGCTCCCATGTGCTTACCGTCCTGTCTCTTCCGACAACGTCTTTCCACGTCTGTTGTCAATGTTTCGACCCACATGTTCTTACTGACATGAAGGAGGCCTCTTAGCTGAGATGATGCATATGAAATCAGAGCTTAGATGGATTTCTTCATCGAGACGAACCGCTCTAAATTTCATCCAAACGAATTTGCGAATTTCGGTCTACAACCCAAAAATGGTCGTCAACCGGTTGCATCCATGACATACGATGGCAGGTTCTCTAGCGTCAATGGCCATTGACATAGGGACCTTGACATTGAATGACACGTCGCATCGTTCTTGGAGTCATGTTGTCCCACCGGCTCCAGTCACTTACACAAGACTAGTATCCCTTGGACAGTAAAAAGGGGCGTTGTGGATTTACACTCCAGAATACTTAAACTTTGCCGTTCCCCCGGGTTCATTCACGATTGAACGGTGCGCAGCTAGCGCCTACCAATCTACTACGTAACTCAATCTGAAGATCTAGGTTCAGATTGACTTGTCAATGTTGTTGCACGGTGAGTCAAGGTGAGATCTGCTAGCGCACCGAGCCATGGCACACTGACTCAACCAAAGATCGACTCTGACCACTTCTGACTCTACCGGATTTCGATTCAGAGATTTTCTTAGCCCTACAAGATGAGCGGCTGCGTCTTGAGCTGCATCAACCACGGGTCCCATTGAGGCCGTTCTGCTTGGCACCTGTTTCCATCATTAGGGTGCAATACAAGTGCTGGAATGAGTAGCACCTTGGCAGAGGCGCAGATAAACAACGGCTCGGAGAAGACAAAGGTGAGACACGGCCGAATCAGCACCGAAATTGGGGGAATCACATTGCAGAATGATGTTCGAAACCATGATCGTCGAACCCGTCCCTGAGAAAGCAGAATTACTGCTTCTCATGAAAGCAGGCTCCAAAACATCGAGGTAAGCCCAATCAGGTTTTTTCCAGAAGAGAGGCCTCCATGATGGCCGATGATTCGCGGTCCAGCCACTCTCATGGAACCAGGTGGTCTGTATGTGGATGAGAGTCGGCGCGGATGGTGCAAACGCCGTAGCCGCCCTTGTCTTGATTGCATTGTTTATGGTAAGAATGATCCGTTTCGAAGGGGGGCCTAGATCATCGACGAAAGTGACGTTGATGAGCCACGGCGATCATAACAAGGAAGGGCGAAAATCCAGTCGGGTAGGCAGAAGGAGGAGTTGCCGCCAGACGTCTCGACTGATGCAGTGGTGGTGGCTGAGGGCGATTCTCATGAGCGAATCGCATTTCACGAACAGTGACAGGACCCCACTATTATCCGTTTAAAGACATTGACGGTTGACGGCCTGTCGTCTAGCCTTACGAGGATTGACGTTCAAGTGTCAGAAGAGACAAGGGGGGTTGAGAGGGGTCATCTTGGGTTACTGTGTTTATGACTTGGCGGTTTGGTGGGCAGGCTTGCGTTGTAATCCAGCTGTCATCTCGGAAACTGGAGAGCATCAGAGGGTTATCCCAGAGACAAGCGAGTTGTCAAAATTTGCGGGATACCGATTGGCTACCCAGAAGCCATCTCGGAACTCTGCGCTTCCCGGACTTTAGAGTTCACGTTGACAGAATCGCAAGAGCCAATCGCAATCAACTTGAGAAGTCTGAGCGGAGGGGCTTCAGATATAACAGCGGCTGAACCCCCCAGCAAATAAACGCGGCATGACAGCATCCCCCAGCCAGGTGTCGACAAAATTAGGGATCAGATATCGATTAATGCCTTCTGCTAAGTTCAGTCAGCGCTGATGAAAGACGGTGGCATCCCGTCCCGGGGGAACGAACACAACTCTTCACATATAGGTTCGCACTCCTATATGTGTGCCCCTGGTCAACGCGGCTGTGCTCTTCGTGATCTCCAGGCGATCTGACGCTGTAACATGCTTCCACAACGGCTGACTAGCGAATCGCATTCTTGCGGAAGCACACCTTTCCCTTCGACCCCCGCTCATTTCCCCAACTGTTCGTGCCACGAGATCCTTGGCAAGAACACTCAGGAACGCTGTCTAACGCCGATGTCAAATGGCTGACAATTGAAACAGTCGGTTGGTTGTCCCTAAATTGGGGATAGATCTGCTGAGGTTGTCAAAGTCTAACGCAAATGCCGACTAGGGGCCTTGCAAGTTGCACGCTTCTCACTTTCCCATCTCATGATTCCACCGCCGTAAGGCCGCTAACGCACCTCGTCCGTCTTGGACGGAAGACTGCGCAAACAGCACCCGGCGTTTGGGGCCGCCGACGTTGCATCCCGAATCGAGCTATACTACCGTGTTTATATGACTTGCATAAGGTGTGCATTGGTGATTTGAGAATCTGGAGAACCTGTGATCGTGAGATACATAAACGTCGTCGTCGATCCAGTTCTCGCCAAGCTCATTTCTTCTGTGTCTCAAGCTCACATCAAGATACTTTGCGATAGCATCAACCACTCGCAACTACAACTCTTCCACTCCAACAACATACTCTTTGTCTGCAGGTATCAGGCGCCATGGATTCCTATCTCGAGGAGACATCTTACACCTTCTTCCCCAGTGTCGAGGGCAACAGTCCAGTGTACACATTCGATTCTCAGTTCATTCCTTTCCCCGCATCAGAGGGCACAGAGAATTTCTTTTATCCATACTCATTCCCGGCATACCAAACATCAATGCCTCTCATGAACAACGCTTCTCCACTCTCCTTGGACACCGACTACGCAACCATCAACACCCCATTCACCGCATCCTCCCCCCGCTCAGACTTCTCGCCCATCCCCAGTGAGCCTTTGGACTTCGCATCACCACCTAGCACTAGCAGCGGACCAGTCTCGCCACGGTCACCCCCACAAGAGGTGCAGCCCGAGAGCTGGGGCCCGGCAGATCTTCACCAAATGGGTTATCTCGACGTCGCCGGCAACTGGCGCTGCCGCTACTCAGGTTGCTGCTCCTCGCGTGTGTTCCTGCGCGCGTGCGATCTCAGAAAGCACTTCCGGGGCCATGCAAAGTACTTCTTCTGCACCGAAAAGAGATGCCAGCAAGCGGGCGTTGGTTTTGCGACGCGCAAGGACTTTCAACGGCACATGGGCTCTCACAAGCCTGCTGTGAGGTGCATGCACCCGGACTGTGATCGCATCTTCAGCCGGAAAGACAATATGGTTCGTTCAGCCCATTCTTATTATAACCCCATTGAAACACAGGCTAATTTGCAACAACAGAGAGAGCACTACAAGAAGATTCATCAGAGGTTGAGAAATAACCTCTTCCCAA